TTCCCTCTCGGTCTCTCTTCTATGAGTGCATGCATTCTATGGAACTCAAAAGAGAGAAAGAGACAAAGAGAGAGATGGGCCAGTAGGTGGCATAGTGGTTAAGGCACTGGACTTCCACATGGGCTGACTGTAGTTCAAGTCCTGGACCTGGTGGCTTACTTTCTCTTTCTCTCTCTCTCTCTCTCTCTCTCTCTCTCTCTCTCTCTCTCTCATGCCCTTTAGCAAATCAAAATAATACTACTAATAATACATAAAGTTGAATAAGTAATTCTTTTTTAAAGAGAGAGAGAGATAGAAAGCTGAAAAAATATAGTGGTCAGTGATCGTTTGCATTTCTGTTCAAAGGCTGTTGTACTAAGCATTACTGGACCACTGAGAAAACCAATTGCTACCTTATTCATTGATACTGCATGCGCTCAGAAGTACTCTAGCTTCAGAAAGACTCTTGTAAGTCTTGTTTTACCTGCTACTTTATGAACATAAAAGCACAGTCAATATGTCATTGCAGTTATGTAGAATGCATTTATGTTTATGAGAAAGGAGAAATTCTTTCTTTTTCCCACTGAAAACATGTGCTATACCTTGTACTTGAATTTTCAGGTAGCAGTTCACAGTTTGGGGTTGATATTCCCTTTAAGAGTGTCCTTACAGAGGCCGATGGTAGTGCAGTGGCCAAAATAGATGTCTCTGAGGCTGATGTGGGAAGGTTCCAGGATTACATCTGGAGACCGCCCTACACACACTGGACACGTGTGTGCTGGGACCCAGGCTGGCTGAAACTGAGAGTGGACTGTGGTGTGAGGAGCCTGCTGAAGGTGCCTGTCTCTCTCTCACACACACACGGAAGAAGAAAAGGGAAAAAAGTTTAAACGAAAAAAGAATGCTCTTTCAGGGACACAGTGATGATAGTGTTTCACAGAGAGAGCACTTTCCAGTTTTCACACACGCATGATCTCCTTGGGTACACATAGACCCCTGCGAGGCGGGTAAGTAAATATTAGCCTTTCTGTTTTACAAATGAACAAAACACTTCTATGAAAATGGCATTTACCCAGCCAATGTCTGAGCGCCCTTTCAGTCTCCAGGAGGCTCCAGGAGAATAGAAACAGTTTTCTCTGTCCAAGATCAGAGCTGTTTTCCCAGTTCCATTTTCTTCCCAAGTCAATTGTTCATTAAGTTAAAATGTCTGAGAAAATATTTCATTTGAGTCTTATCCCACCCCTAGCGCCACCTACCCACATCAGTTACTGACAGGGCACAGATGTTGGGGAGATGAAATTCATATAATTTAAGAAGTAATACAGCACATTTATCCTGTTGTTTATAGAGATTAACTTACTTTGTGTCATTTATTGAAGTCTGTTCAAAACCACGATTTAGATAAACCAAATACACTGTGGAAAAATGTCTCTCTCTCTTAGAGGAGTTGAGTGATAAGAGCCCTCAGAAGCTGCCTCTTGAGTCAGGCTCCAGTTCTGTCCTCTAAGCTCAGAGAATGAAACCATTTCTGTGGGCTCTGCCCAACCAGTGCAGTGGTTTTGGTTGGTTTCATCATGCCTGCTGAGTTTCATTTTTACTTTGATTCGTCTGAACTCATAGGCCCGTGTAATCAAAACGCTAAAGAAGATCAGTGAATTCCACTCAGGTCTGTGGCGTTTCCCATTCAGCATTACGAAATGCTTATTCTGTCTTATGGTTTTTTGGGTTTGATTTTTTTTTATTTTATTTTTTGTAAACCTGTTTGAATGAAAACCTCAAATCTAAATGAAACTGAAAATGTGACTGATGATGGATGGTTAGCTAAAATACAAAGTGTGGTGGAATTACAAATCCCCCTCTTAAACCAGGGGTGCTCACCTAGGAAGAACAAAAAAGCTATTTAGAGGATCAAGAACCAATGATAGGGTAGCAGCTGGTTTCAAATTTAAATATGTAATCATTCTTGGAGGTGGCTGCTAAGCTTTATAGAATTAGTACAAAAATTAAAGATTTTGGTTTTGAAAGGTAGAAATCTTATTCATACTGTATAATGACTATAATTAATTCTAGGAACCTGGTATTTGCTAGATAATTGTTTTATTCTCAGCCATTTAAAGTAAAGGTTTATCATATCTCCTCAAGGGATACAGGGACTTTAAACAATTAATTAGGAGCAAGTCTGCATAAAACCAAGTGTTTTGGGGACCAGCACATGGCACAGTAGTTAAGGTATTGGACTCCCACATGGCTGATCATAGTTCAAGTCCCAGACCTAGCAGCTTGCTTTCTTACTTTCTCTCTCCCTCTGTGTCTGGTGAGCACACATGCTCTATAGCAAATTAAAAATAATAATAAATTAATTAAATTAAATAAACAATTCTTTTTTTAAGCAAGTGTTTTTGATAAATGTGGGTAGCAACAACTCTGGAAAATGTGTTACTCGAGGACTTCTGCCCAGTCCATGCCAGAAGCATGCTCAGGCTTTAAGTGCTGGCAGGCAGAGCATGGAGTCCCACTGGAGGTTTCATATGTAATTCAAGTTCTTAGCACCATAGTGGTGACCCAGAGAGGTGGAGGAGAGAAGGCAAAGTGGACAACCCATCTAGTGCAGAAGCGCTGGGAAGGCAGAGACAAGCTAAGCACAAAAGAAATAGCCGTGATGGTAGAATTTTATTCGAATGATGCAGATGCAGACACCTGTTCTGGGGGCAAGTAATCCTCCAGGGCAGAGTTATGGAGAGGCCATGGTCTCCTAACTGCAGGAATTTTTCAAACCAGGAGCACAATCTACCATTCCCTTACAAAGAAAGACAAGGCAATACCTACATAGGTAGGTGACACATTTCCACAGGTGACCTTTCCAAAGG